GAGGGCTGAGGTCATTAGCGGTGACCACAGAAGGACCGACCACGGGCAACGGCGCCATTAATCTTGACGAGGGGAAGAGTGAGCGAGGCATAAAACCTGCTTGGTGAGGTGTCTTCCTAAGTGACTGACCCTGTGTCTTTACTCTAGGTTTAGAGGGATGCGTGTGAGCAGTGACGTCGACTTGGCCTAATGAGTGACAAGGACACAGCACGGGTGCCGGGTCTGTGGCAGGAGCAGCTGGGTAGAGGCTTAGGAGAGTAGCTCCAGCAGAAACGTATCTAGGATGCCTCCTGTGGCCAGGCGCGATCCTAAAACTACATACAGACGGTTGAATCCTCACAACAGGCCTGTGAGGGAGGAGCTATGTCATTTCTGTATTAGAGATGCGGAAACTGAGGCACAGAGAGGCAGGTCACTCGCCTGAGGTTGCACAGCTAGTAGGTGACAGAGCTGGGATTCAAACCCAGGTAGCCTGGTTTCAAAGGTTGTTCTCACTCACAGAGTGGAGAGGTGTCAGGAAGTTCTAGGAAGTGTCGGGTACTTAGTGCTTGGGTACACATCCTATCCTTTTCTTCCACGCCCAAGGGACAGACACTGTGCTGCCAGGCCAGGACACGGGCAAGGGACTGTGGATCCAGCGGGATTCCTGATTGAACCCGACTCTCTTGTGGTTAAAGGGGTCACCCAGGGCAGTGGTCAGAGTCCTGGCCCTCTTCCTGGGCCTCTTCCTGACACCCTCCTCCATTTTAGGTTCTGTTTTAGAGTCTGGGGAGGACAGAGCAAAAGCTTCCCCTTAAAATCCACCTGTCGAAGTCCCCAAGGCCAAATGTGACTGTATTTGGAGGCCGGGTCTATCCTGGAGGAAACAATCAAGATTGCGATGGGTCCTACGCGTGGGGCCCAAGAAAAGCAAGAGGCAGAGTAATTGCCCCCCTCAACACACACCTCTGGCTGTTTTTTTCTTTTTTTATTTGTTCTAATTAGTTACACAGGACAGTCCAGTGCGTTTTGACACGTCATACATAAATGGAGCATAACTTCTCGTTCTTCTGGTTGTACGTGGTGTGGAGTTTCACTGGTTTTGTAATCATGTGCACAGAGGGTGATAATGCCATTCTACCGTCCTTCCTACTTCCATACCCCCTCCTCTCCCTTCACTCCCCTCTGTCTAATCCAAAGTATCTCTATTCTTCCCCATCCCCCCCCACCTTTACTGGGAGTTAGCATCCACCTATCAGAGAAAATATTTGGCCTTTGGGGTTTTTTGGGGGGTTGGCTTATTTTTCTTAGCATGATATTCTCCAGCTTTATCCATTTACCAGCAAAAGCCATCATTTCATTCTTCTTGAAGGCTGAGTAATATTCCATTGTGTATACATACCACATTTTCTTTATCCACTCATCTGTTGAAGGGCACCTAGGTTGGTTCCATACTTTAGTATTGTGAATTGAGCTGAGGCAGGGTAATCGTATGGGGTGTTTTTATTGGTCACAGTGTGACATTTTAATACATGCACACAGTGTGTGATGAACACACCCAGGTTTTTGCATAACCATCACCTCATTTATTATTTCTTTATGTTGGGAAGTTTCAAAATCCTCTCTACACTACTTTGAAAGACACAATTAGTGGTTGCCAACCATAGTTATTCTACCGTGCTATAGAATATTAGAAGTTATCCCTTCTATCTATCTGCACCCCCTTCTCATTAGCCAGCCTCTCTCCACCTCCCTCCCCCACATCCTTCCCAGGTTCTAATAACCAATATTCTATGCCCTGCTCCCATGAGATCAGCTTTTTAACTTCCAGATAAAAGTGAAAACATGAAGTATGTGTCTTCCTCTGCCCATAAAACTTAATTTCTAGTGAAGAAAATTAGGCTGATAGAGGGACTGTTTTGCCATATGATTTAAATGTGAGCAATCCCCCCAAAACTCATGTGTGGATCAACACAAGAATTTTCAGAGTTGAAATGATCAGATTATGAGAGGTGGAAACCGATCGGTGTATTAATCCACTGATCAGATTAACTGGGCAGTAACGTAGACAGGTGGGGTGTGGCTACGGGACGTAGGTCCCTACGGTGTGTCTCTGGGGTTGGTCTGTTGTATTTGGGGAGCACAGTTCTCTCTCTGCTTCCTCTTGCCATGTCTTGAGCTCCTTCCTCCACTTTGCCATGAGGTTCTGCCTCACTGGGACCCAGAACTATGGAGTCAGCTCATCATGGATGGAACCTCTGAAACCAGGAGCCCACATAAATTTTTCTTCCTCTGATTGTTCATGGCAGGTCTTTTGGTCCCAGCAATGCGGAGGTGACTAAAATACCCTTAGCCTCCACTCCCTACTTGGTGCCCAGAGTAAGCGGCAAAGCCAGTTCCACTGGGCGACAGGGAGAATCAGGGAGGGAAAGAGAAAGAACAAATCACCACGGAGAGGAGTCAGACTCGTTGATTCTGGAGACAAATTTCAAAAATGACAGGGGGAAGAAATGTGTTTCGAAAAAGAAAGAACTTTCTAACGCTCGGGCTGGAACTGGTTCTCTTAGGAAAAAGGGTGGAAGGCCCCAACCCACTGACTCTTTGATTTGCCTGAGGTTTGGTCTTTCCTGATGTCGGAGTTCCCCAAATGCGAATAGATTCTGGACTTCGAGGCCATGTTTGGGGACAGAATTCTTTGGCACACCACCCTACAGGAAGGACACTGCCAAGGGGCTTCCCATCCTGGGATCCTGAACTGAGGCAGCTGGGAGAGGCGCCTCCTCCTCCCTCTTTCAGTAATAAGCCTCTGAGCTGCAGAATGCCCCCCACCCCCAGGTTGAACCTCATGAACGTGAATCCAGATTAAATCCAGGCGGAAATGTTTGCACCTGTTACTGGGAAGCCATTTACTCTTGGCCAACAGCAGGTGTCCTTCGCCCTCCTGCTGAGCTCAGGGTCTGGCCCCTGGAGCTGAAGTCCAAAACCCATCAGACCCCTGGGGTGCTTTTTAACGGGCCCATCTCTCAGCGCCCCTCCTAGGGTGATTCTTTAGCCAGGGGCTGACTGTGACGAGAGAGATCCAAGGGCTACACTGTGTCAAACACCAGGGGGTCTTAGACGTCATGTCCCAGCGAAGAGGGGCAACGGTCAGTAAGGGAGGCTCTCTGCTAGGATGTGCGCGTGGTCCTTTCCCGTTGCCCATTGCTGAGAAGGAGGGAGAGCCACTTGGGATTCCAGAGCAGGAGGACATGCTCTTCATAATGAAATGAAGAATCTTAAAAATCATAGAATGTATTAGCAGGAGAGGAGAGTGGTTACAGAATTCGTGCTCCTCAGGGTTTGGCTTCATTATTTGGTTGCTGGCTGAAGGATAGGAAGCTGCTTAATCTCTCTGAGCCTGTTGGGTCATCCCAGCAAGTATAAAATGATGCTTCTTCAAACTGTTGTGCTATGTAAATGAGCCCAGGCATTGATAGGACATGGGCTAAAAAAAATAATTCACAGGTGAAGCCAGACTCTCAGTGTGGTGGTATCCAGAGGCAGGGCCTTTGGGAGGTATTGGATAATGACTCTGGGACCCTCCTGAACAGGATTAGGGACCTTACCCAAGAGACCCCAAAGATCTCCCTCCCCTCTTCTACCCCGTGAATATGCAACGAGAAAGTGCTGCCTGGAAACTGGAAGAGGCCCTCAGCGGACCCTGAATCTGCTGGTGCTTTGATCTTGAACTTTCCAGCTTCCAGAACTGGGAGAAATACACTGCTTTTGTTGACAGGCCACCGGGTCTCTGGCATTCTGTTACAGCAACCACATGGACTGGATGCACCGCCTCGAGCCTGGCACGTGATAAGAGCTCCAGGTTCTGGTTAGTATCGACAGGGTCATAGAATGATCTTAGAGTTAAACATGACCACAGAGATCCAGTGTGTCCAGTGTCCCTGTTGTGACTTCTGGCACAAGAGGAATCAATGAAGGAAGAAGAGCCTGAGTGACTTCCCTGAGGAGCATCCCCTCTCCCCTATGGGGGAGAAGCCCCCTGGCATTGCCCAGGCATGGAAAAGGTGCATTGGCCGCGGAGGGAGTTTGCAAATCTAAACCTCAAGCTCTACAATCTGCACCTACTGACACTTTGCCGAGGTCACAGTTGGTCCCTGTTGTCTGTAGGTCCCGGCAGGCTCCCACCCCCCACCCCAGGAGAGCAGAGGAGCACCCTCCCTCCCCTTACCCTGGTGTTTAATCAAAACTGTATTCAAAAATATGATTCTGGGAGATTATATTGGGAGATTTGCAGGAAGCTCTCAGTGGGGACAGAGATAGTGGCAACAGATTGTGGCTGGGGGTCTGAGGCTGGGATAATCACAGGCTCAGACAGGCCATTCTCAGGCTCTTTGCCTGGACCCCTGGAGCTCCCCCTCGTTCTGGAGGAGACTGGAAGCACGGGATGGAGACCTAGATTATCTCAGAATTGCCAAGCTGGGGAAGGAAGAGGGGAGGGGGCTTGTCCAAGCTGCAGAACCAGGTAGAAATGCAACGGAGAAGGTAAAGCAGGTCTTGGGGACTCCAGACCACCCTCTTCAGCCTTCCTACCCCACTGTCTCCAGCCAGTGAGGGGCAGGTCTTGGGAACAATTCTAGGCTGCTCTGGACTGGGGCAGAGAGGAGCCGTCGGTCTCTGAGTCAAGAGATGGTTCCTGGAGCCGGAGAAACAGCTCCCTGGGGGCCTGGGGGCCAAGGTAGGGCAGCCCAGAGGGACCTCCTGTCCAGGTTCACAGTGGGTGCCTAGGGCTGAAGGGCTGCAGAAGAGCCAGGCAAGGTCCCCCACCAACCGACCTCTGCATTCTAGCCCCTGCTAAGCCACATGACCTTCGGTGTAGGCCACTCCCCTCCCCAATCTGTCCCACCCAGCTCTGACTCCTAGATGCGAAGGGACTCTCCCCTCCACCAAGCGCTAGCTGGCGTATCCGGAGGGGTCTACCTGGCCCCCCAGGAGGGGGTGGGGTCGAGAGCGCCTTGAAAGAAACCTCGGGTTAAAGCTCTTTATTACAAGCGTTAATCCCGCAAAGCCGACTGGAAATCATGTTTATCTTTTCGCAGTTTAATTTTCCGGACCCTAAGCCGCGGGTCAGCGAGGGCGACTGGAGTGTCCCCGGGGAGGCTGGGGATGGGACCAGCTGTTGCCCAGGAGCAAAAAAGAAGCAGGGAGGGAGGGGGGTCTCCCGGAGGGTGGGCGAGCAGGAGCCCGAAAAGGCGCCCAGAGTAGAAAGCTAAGGTCTGTTTCCACCAGGGACACGCATGTCCCTGAGCCGGTCACCTGCTCCTCATGGGGCCTCTGTTGCCTCATCTGAAACAGAGGTTTGTGTTTCTGTGATTCCTCAGGACCCTTCCCACTCCGAGGGGGTCTTTGCTATAGAGAGGAAGAAGGGGTGGGGCCAGGGAGGGTCTGGGGACCACTCAGGTCAGTCTGCCCGGTTCCTGCTCCCAACCTCCCCCTCCGCAGCTCCGCCCTGGCGATTCTTCTGGCTTCAGTGACCTCGGAGCTGATGTGGAAGACTGTCACCTAGCCCAGGCAGGGGCCTGGAGTGGGAGAGAAGGGTCCCGGAGGGATCCAGCCCAGCCCCTGGAGGCACACCCTGCTGGCTGCTTTGCCTCCAGACCCCCGGTCTCCACCACTCCCTGAGCTTCCCTCTGGGACACTGCCCTGTCCCTCCCCTGCCGCAGCAGTGCGTCTTCTGGCCAGCTAATCCCACCCCTCTGGACCCCAGGTGTGAACTGGGGCAGCCTTATCCAGCCTGCACGGCGCAGGCGCAGGCGTGCACAGGCACCTGGGCATCTCTGGCATTCAACTCCCCCCATGAATCTGCAACCCCAGGAGGAACCTGGGACAAATGCTGCTCCTAAATATCCTGACCTCTACCCCGCTCCCCGTGTCACCTCCCACACCTGCCCACCAAAGGGGGCCTCAGCCTGGCTCAGCGGCTTGGTGGATAAACTTTGGGTCTGCTACACCCCAGGCGCCCTGGGTGCCATTTCGGGTTGCCTTGTCCATTTCGCCCCTTGCTGCCCTGTCCCCAGGGCTCCTGGCTGTGACCCACCCCGCCCTCTACCCTGACCTTTCTAGGCACCCCTGGCACAGATAGGCTGCACAGCTTAGGTTCAGCTTGATTATTTTTAAGGACACAAGGAGAGGGGAAGGGGAGAAGACGCAAGTGGTCCTTAGGGGCCAGCTCAGCCATAAAGCTACAAAGTGAGTGAGCGGGGTGAGGGGCAGGAGTGAGCAGGAGAATGCACCGTCCAGGCCCTGCATCCAGAGAAGGAAGGCAGACCCCCTGGCTTCCCCCGCCTTCCTCAAGGTGCCCTGACACCTCTTCCTCCGTCGGATCTGGGTGGGTGTAGATCTGTCCTGCCACCGGCTCTGTGTGCAAGGTCGGCTGCTACAGGAAGGTTTTCTGTGTGTCTGTCTCTTAGGCAAAGTGAGAGCTCCTGGTCCCTGTCAAGGTCTGGCAGTTTCTTAGAGCAGAGGTGAGTTCAAAAAGTGGGTGTCCAAGATTCTTCTGCAAATCGCAGCCATGGCGCTAACCTGCTGAGAAAGGAAAGGTTGATTAAAACCCAAAGACCACTTGGTGATGATTCTTAGGAAATCCGAGGTCAGCTGTGTCTGGTCCACAGAGAAGCACAAGTCTAGAGGCAATATGCTTGCCAGAGGTATTGCTGGGACTCTCCATGTATATATTCAAATAACAATGTAACCCAAGTTTCTAAACCAGTGGCTAATCCTGGGAGAAATTACTATGAAGAGCACACTCTGACAGTCATTGCTAAGAGTTGCCTAGTTCTGGGGAATGTCCGTTTGTGGGGTGAAATTCCCTTCCACCAGGTCCTTAGCACACAGAATAAACCAACTGGAAATGGGCAACACCAACTGGCAGTCTAACCCTGCTTGGAAATGAGACTTTGTAGGTGAGTCCTCTCCAGGGACAGCACCAATCTCAGTTACGGAATGCAGGGGCATGTCCACATCCTTAGGGATTTTAGTGGCCACTGAGAGGGCTGCAGCTGTACTTAAGCAGTGACCTTACACCTATAGAATGTGTCTGGCCCACCTTTTCAGAAGTCTCAGAAATCTCTGCTGCCTGTCCAGCCCTGGGTACCAGCACAACAGGAGACCAGCTGAAAGCCCCTTGTGCTAGACAAGTGTGGCAAAGCACACCTAGTGCATTTGGAAGAACCCTGGACCATGAATTCACAGGTTGTCCAACTCTCCAGCTTTCTATATGGATCCCAGGTCAATTTCTCTCATTACTATTATCTGGCTTTATAATGAAAGATTAGAACTTTCATCGCTAAGCATCCATTTGAAGGGGGAGCTGTGGGACAATCTCCTGCCAAATCTGAACCTGAGCTTGGCTGGGCAGGGTGGTGGGTGGGTGTCTTTGGGGCAGGCGCTCCCAGCGCCATTGGGGACCCACTACCTTCTGCTCCGGAGGGGTACTGGCACTGCACTGAAGGCTCCCTCCGCCTCGGGCAGGGCGCACAGTTCAGCGGCAGCCCCTGAAGGGTAAACGTGGAGTTTCCGAAGGCTTTGGCTATGAGAGAAGACTCTTCGCAAGTGGGTCGCCGGGCGGAGCCTAGGGACTGTCCGGGAATCATATGGCACTCAGGACTCTGTGGCCTGGGCCGCGTTGAGGATGCACCTTCCACCGCGCTGGCTGCAGCGGTGTGCGCCAAAGACCAGATGCGCGGTTTCTCTGCGCATGGGTAGTGCATGATCATCGTGGGCCCCCCGGACTCCGCCGCAAGGAAGTCAGCTTCTCCCGACCCGCGGGGCTCACTGAAGGAGAAGCGGGGCGCCGCCAGGCCGCACTCCCTGCTCTCCACCCGGCCCTGCCGAGCTGCGGCGCAGGTCGCGGACAGCGATTGCGCGCCTTTCTGGAAGGCCGCCAGCCTGTCCGCCGCAGTAACCACGGCCTCCTCCTCTTCGGCTTCCTCTTCGTCCTCCTCTTCCTCCAGGTCTTCCAGGTCACTCAGAGGGAGACCCTGCGCCTCCTGGCTAGCAGTACCGTCTGCAGGAAATCAAATCAAGAGCTAGTGAGAAAAGCCCAGGGCCCAGGGGAAATCCGCGGGAGTGCCCATCCCGGAGAAGCTTTTAGCGAGACGCACTCAGGGTGTTCTCTGTAATTCACCACCTCTGCTAAGCCAGCCCTCACCCTGCCCCCGGGCTGCTCGCCCGCCCTAGGGAAACAATTCTTGCTCCAGGCTTGTCCCCCTCACCCACCGCCCCTTGGAAGACTCGCCCTCCCTGAGAAGCCAAGGAAAAGCCACCGCAAGAGTCTGGATCTGCATAGTAAAAAGAAGGCAAAGGACTCTTTTCATCCAACTTTGGCATCCACAGGTGGCTGCCGTTACATTATTTAATTCAGCGCGTGTTTGCTGAGTGCCAACTAGGTGCCAGGCTTCATCTAGGTGTTGGGTATTTAGGGGACACAGTGGTAAGGCCTCTTCTGGTAGAGTTGGCTTTCCAGAGGGGTGTTGAGTGTGTGCATGTTCTTAGAGTGATAAATGGCCAAAGAAAGAAAGCAGGCTGATGAGACAGAGCATAACTGGGAAGCTACACGGGGGCTTGGATGCGGAGGTAACGCTTTTTTTTGGGGGGGGGCTTGACAGTTTGAAGTAGAGACTCAGCTGTTTCTGCAGGGAATTCCAGGAGGAGTGATGTGCATGGGCAAAGGCCCTGGGGTGAGTGCAGGGGATGAATGCCTTCAAAGAAAATCTGCCCCAGTCAAACTGCTGGATGGCTTGTGAAATCTATCAGGTGGCTGATGGGCATTTGGGTACCTTTGGGGTCACTGTTTAGGCAGCCCAGAGACTCCTCTGCTCTGGTCTCTGCCTTCCTTTCCTCCCCGCCTTTGTTCTTGGGTGCCCAAGTCATCTTGTTCTCCTTCTTGAGGCGCCGGCGCGCGTTGGCGAACCAGGTGGACACCTGGGTGAGGGTCATCTTGGTGATGATGGCCAGCATGATCTTCTCGCCCTTGGTGGGGTAGGGGTTCTTGCGGTGCTCGTTGAGCCAGGCCTTGAGGGTGCTGGTGGTCTCCCGGGTGGCGTTCTTTCTGCGTCCAGCACCGCCCAGCTCTACCCCACCGAACCTGCAGGGAGAGGCCAGCTCAGTCTCTAGCCTGGGAACAAGGGGCTTCGGACAGGGGGCATGGGTCACCAGGAAGTGTGATTCTGCCCCTCCCTTTCCCTTCTTCCTTCCACCCCACCTCCCTTTCTGGCAGGAGGGAGCCAGCCATTTGCCCATCCTCACCGGTCATACTGGTACTGCCCCAGAGTCGGCTCGTAGGGATAATAAGCTCCTGGTTGGGCCAAGCTGGGCGTAAAATTCCCCGCAGCCTCCTTAAATTCATACTGTGGATTCTGGTGGGAAAGGGAAAGAGAGTGGAGGACTCAGTGTGGGGAGGAGCTGGCAGCTGAGGTCAAGGACTCTGGTTCAGCCCCATCATGTGCATGGCTGAGCAACCTTGACACAGTGATTAACCACTCTCTGCCTCCGTTTCTCCCTGGTGAAACGGAAATGGTGATAACAGTACCCAGAGGTTGCAGGAGAAGACCATGTTGGTAAAAGGCTAGGCAGGCTCCCGGGTTAAATACTAGCTGTTCTTACTGCCCTTACACACCAGTGGGGCTGCTTCCCAACTTTAGTCTTCTTCCAGAGCTATTCCTGACCCTCTGCACCTTTGTGACTTCAATCTCAACTTCCTCATCTGTAAGTGGAGAATATGGATGGCTTACCTACGTCACAGATATAATAGAACTACCGATGCTTTCTGAAGAGTACGTAACCATCTGTAAATTCTGAAGTGCTCTGAAGGTATATTTTCCCCTTATACACAATCCTAACCATCCCTTCCTTAGGGCTCTGTGTCCCTCCTAGATTTTCTCTGGAGAGGACACTCTAGATTTCACCTGTCTCTGCTGCGCATGCCCCCAGTGCCTGCATGTCCTAGCAAGGTAGTCCCAGTTCCCACTTGACTCACCAGTGCCCCATACAGTGGGGGTGGCTCCGGTCCATAGGGCAGGTAGCCAGGGTAGCTCTGGGCAGCAGCATAGGGAGCCCCGTAGATGCCCAAGGCAGCACCCAGCTCAGGCCGGGTGCTGCCCAGCAGCCGGCTGTCATAAGGTGTGCAGCAAAGAGCGGGTGCTGGGGTGGAACTGGAGGCCACCTCTGAGACTGAACGTGGAGCAGCTTCGCAGCAAGTGGCGCTGGAACTTGCAGACACCAGAAACTACAAGAATGAGAAAGAGGTCACTGGAGGTCAGAGACCCCCCCCCCCAAACTCCCTGGAGCCAGAGGGAAGCAGGGAACTGCCAGGTCACTCCTTCCTTCCACTTTAACTAAATGCCCCCATTCTGCTAGCTGCTGGGACAGGAATTTTCCCAGGGGCAACTCATTAAAACTCCTCTTATAGATGTCCCTATGCCATTACTATAGTTCCAGAGTCCCAGGGGACTGGGGAAATGTGAAGGTCAGAAACCGCATTTAGAGACCAAACCTCTGCTCTCACCCCCATCTCTGCAAAGATAGAGCTAGAAGTTAGCCTTAAAGACCATCTCAACCTATCACCCCCACTCCTGTTTTATAGATAGGGAATGGAGGACCAAGATCACACAGCAGGTCAAAGGTCAAGCTGGTACCAAATCTCAGGAAAGTATTCCAGGCACTCTGGGGAGAAACTGAGTAACAGTGGTGGGATTTTTCCCATGAGACTCTTGTCGCTGGGCAACATGCCCTCTCCTCCCTCACCACATTTGGTTTGGAAAATTGAGGGATCCAGAGGCAGAAAACTTGGATCAGCCCAAGGAAAGAGCAGGATAAGAATAGAGGTCAACAAATGAGCAACAATATGGCGAGATGGGCAGTGCTCTGTACTGGAAGTCCTCTTTCTCCCCCCCCTGAGCGTCCTCTGGCCACCTCACACATCTGTAAAGAAAGGAGGCCTGACTGGAAGATCTCTGAGATCCCACCCACCTCGCTGAGCGCATGGTCGGGGTGCCCACGTTTCCACGGTCACACGGTTTCCAGCATGCACTTGGGAATGGAACGTTCTCAGTCAGGGACTGGGGTGTCAGAGGAAGCTGTGAAACACTACCCGGGCCTTGATCCCTCGGTCTTCCCCCAGGACACGGAGAGGAGAGAGCTCAGGGGTAGGCGCGCACCAGGCGGTCACCCACTCCACCCAGGCTGCCCGCCATTCCCCATGAAGGCACTTCTTACCTGGGAAGCGCCGCCGTATGGGTGTCCGAAGTGCGGGAAGGACATAGTGGCTGTCCCTGTCCTGTCTCCCTCTTCCCTTAGGAGTTCCCCTCTCAGCCCCGCGGTTCGGTGCCCCTAGCCTTGTGGCGTCTGGTTTCCTTACACCGCTGCGAGTGCCCAGCGCCGATTCCTTCGCCCGCTTGGAGCGACTAGAGGCAGAGCCGAGGGCAGCCCAGCTGCCGAGCCCTGCGCTCCGGAAGGCGCCCCTCCAGCCCGTAGGGTCCAGAAGACAGAAGGGCCCATGGATGGGCAGGGGAGGGAAGAAGGCGCAGGTTCCCAAGGGCGCTCGGTGGCGAGGTGAGGCGCGGCGCGGCACCGGGCTGTGAAGCTCCCGAGGTGTCCCAGTCCTGGGTGGCCAGAGGCTCAATGTGACGTCACGGTAATCCCGGGCTGCCAGACCGGACCCCGGGCCCCGGGGCCCCGGGCCACCAGGCGTACTAAGCGCAGCCAGCCCGTGCGCGCGCGCGCACGCACTCTCACCCACGCTCACTCTTGCTCCGGGAGATTTGTGCAATCTGCGAGGAACGTCAAAGACCCTGACCCTCTCTGCTCGGCGCTAGATCCTACCCCTTTTTGCCGCAAGCTCACGCGCGCGCACACACACAGAGAATTTCTCCAAATTACCCGGGAGAAGTAGGAGAAACGCCTCCCTCTGCGCCGCGCAGGCCCGGGGCGCAGCGCGCACACCTCCTCCCCTGCGGCCCGGAGGAGGCGAGAGGCAACCGGGGAGGCGAGGGAGGAGAGAATACAAAAGAAGAGACTAGAGAAAAGTGGGGGAGAGAGGCAAGAGGGAGGAGGAGGAGGGGAGAGGAGAGGGATGAGGAGTCTGAGTGAACAGAGGCGCGCGGGGAGGGGGAGGGAGCTGGGGTGGGTGAAGGCTGGGCGGAGGCTGAGCACCGGCAGGTGGAGGAGAGCCCAGGCTCGGGGGAGAAGCCCCCAGCCCGGCTCCTCCGCCTCTCCGCTGCAGCAAAGTTTGTTGCACCACCAGCCCGGCGCTCATGGAAGCGGATCCGGGCAGCGTTGGTGGACCCCACGGGACCGCCCATCCTTGTCCTGGGGATCCGGCTCCCTCCTCAGTCTCCCCAGGACTCTGGCTAATTCCGCTTTGCCAGAGCCCCGACCCTGAGGCTTCTTTGCCGCCGCTTGACCCTCGAATACGCCGAATAGTGCCCCCTCCAGGACAAAGTTCTGGTCCCTGTCGGTTTCCGCCTGGAAAAGCGCCAAGTCTGACCCTTGGCAACTGCAGACTGGGGCCCGTGGCGCTAGGCAAATCCTCCTCGGACGGAGAGGCTTGGTTGCCTGGCACACTCCGCCCGCTGGGTCCGCGGGGGATCCAGGAAGCAGGAGGAAGGCGTCGGGGCCGGGCTGCAGCCGCTGAGCTCCGCTGGGGGTGGCGCTGGCGAGCCGCAGTGGAGAGCTCCGGGCGGGAGGCCTATTCCCTGCGCTCCGCCCGGACGCTGGGCTGGGCCAGCGGTGTAACCCGGGCTCCCCTCCCAGGGGTCCTCGTCAAAGGACACTGATGGGCCTGGTGGAGGTGGGTGTGCGCTGGTGCCGGGAAGGGGGCTTCGTCCGCCAGGGCTGGCCCCAGCACAGGGGGCGGCCAATTTCAATCATCGGTTTGCACTTCTGATGTCTCAGACCCCAGACGCCTTTCAGAGGGCTGTAACCCACGGCATCTAGGGGCGACAAGGGACCGCCAATTTGGCGAGGGAAGGCCTGAGTCGTTGCCGGATCAGGTGGAGTTTGCAAGCCCAGAAACCTCGGAAAGCTTTCCCTTTCTCTCCAGCGGGTCACCGCGCCCTTTCCACCTTATACAAGGCTCTCCCTCTCTGCAACTCCCCCGGGGTGTCGTGAGGGGTTGGTGCAAGGGCTCAATTTTATTTTCTAATTGAAACCCAAGACCGTGTAGCCCAGAGGATAGGAGCTGAGCTGGGTTCCTGCCAGGTGGAGGAAGCCCAGTTGCAGGCAGGTCTGGGTCCCTGGCCGGGAAATCTGTCACCGCTAACTTGCCTCTGGCACCTTGCAGAGGGGACTGGTAGGCCCCAGGGCCAGTGACCTCCTTAGAATGACAGCTCTGGCTCCACAGCTCCACTCTTTTCTTCCCCAGATTCTGCAGAACTCTCAAGGAGCTTCAAGAACCCACAAACCAACCGCAGACGACTCTAAGAGATTATTAACACGAGAACAAGCGCCATTCTAAATACTGACAAACCCAGCCGCGGCTGCGGAATGCTGTTACCTTGGAGAAACCTTGCTTTCAACCCCGGGAAACTCCTAGTTAGAAAAAGAATTATAGTCATGGGTAGACTGACTTAGCGATAAAAATCACAGTAATAAATAGATCCCTTGATTTTTCAAAATGCACTTTGGAGTCACACCCCCCCCCCCATTGCAGTTTGGATACATCTAAGCCTTTTCTTTTTCTTTTTTTTTTTTTAAGTAAGTATTAAAGAGTATTCATTAAATTAGTCTCTTGGGGAAGATTACTACTAATTAATTAATTGCAAACATTTCCAGAGGGAAGGTATGTCAATTGGAAAGTAATAAAATTAGATAGTCGAAATACTTACTCAGCAACTTTTATTGCCCATTCGTTCCTAAGCAGATTTTTTTTTTTTTTATGACAGGAAAATGGGGATGGTGGGGGAGAAAAAGCATTAGCCCTGTCCCTTGGCAATATGGTTGCAAAGCAGAGACTACCATAGAGGATTTATTGATTTTCAGCTGATTTATAAGACCTCTGTGGTATCAATGCTGTGTGCAAGACTCCCCTTGTGTGCAAGGCTTACCCCTTGTCTTTGCTTTAGGATTAGAGAAAGGCAAGAAGAATTTTTTTTTTTGGAAGAAAAGAAGACAAAAAACTGTGGCAAAATAAATTGGGAGTACAACTATGAGAAGGTGTCAGCATTTTTTTTTTCTTCTGTGGAAATGGAAAAAAAAGAGCATGTTTTATGTGAAGGTACCTCATCTATTGTCTTCAAAGTTGCTTTATGGTTTTGGTGTCTTCTATCATAATGTCTCCCAAGGAGAAAGCCCTGCCCTGTCTGCTCCCCCCGTCCCCATGTTTCTGCCTTTGGGGAGACCCGGATTTAATATGTCCTTCCCAGGCAGAGGCTGCACGCACAGTAAAGCTCCCTTGTATTGATGACATTTGATTGTTACCATCTTGAGTATTTAGTGGGATTTCCTAAAAAAATGGTTATTATGAGATGTGCCTAGAATTTCTGTTATTTGGGGACCTGCATAACAAAAGCCAAGCCAGTAGGTTAAGCCAACATCAACCTGTGTGTGGCAGAACCCTCAGGTGTAAAGGAGTCTGATTCAGGAACAGTGCTGTGGAATTGGTTTTTCTTCCGTCTCCCTGTCTCTTCCCAGGCCCTTACCTCTGTAGCCCCACGCTCCAGGCTTCTCTCTCATGGTGGATTTTCATTGCTTTGTTCGGGTGCTGATTAATTTAGTTTCCGGGGGAAAATCCCCAATTGTATAGGTGTGCACACAGAATTTTATTGAAGCAAGTAAATAAACCCATCAAATACAGACACACACACACACACACACACACACACACACACACCACACACACACACCAGTTCTATTTAGGGGAGTCATCCCACTGAACGTATTTTGAACAAATGATTTAGATTCTTTTGTTGTTTTGTGCAACATGTCTGATAGGTTCTCTAGCTGCTCATTAAAACTAATAGGAAACAAAGCAAACAAAGGCCTACCAGGACCACAGAGAGTACTGATCCACATTGTTTATTTGAAGTTCATATTGCTTTGTGGTAAATGCACTGAAGTTCCTGAGCAGCAGAGTTAAGGATGTGTGTGTTTGACAATGAGTTTGAAGGCAGGTACTTCCAAAAAAAAAAAAAAAAGGAAAAATACATCATATTGCATTTTTGGTGGGGGGAGGATGTTTAAAAATGTTCACGATTTCCAAATGATTTCCAAAGACAACAGATTTTACAGAAGGGAAAATAGCAAACTGGAAATGTCTCATCACAGCTGAAATGAGTGAGTAGATGGGCATAATAACATAGTTGAAAATGAGCTAAGTTATATTTTTTAAGTATGGAAATTTTTTTTAACCGACTGTTTTTGAACTGGGAAGAATGAATTTTCCTCAAATCTATGCATGAATGAACAAGTGCATCTGGACAGATGCATCCATAATTTATACTGATCAGTCACCGCAGGTCTCCCCAAGTAAAGCCGAAATGAACACTAATTGTTTTGACGGAAGTGGTGTGTGCAGCATCTGATTGTGAGAGGCAGCAGCCCCTGCTTTGCCTGAGTACAGATTGTCAACAGCTACTCTGGCATCAGGAGGGGAAAATAAAAAGGCAATAATTCCCAGATGAGGGTGTTGATGTTGCTTGTCAGCAAGGTGGCAAATAGCAAGAAAGAATTAACTTCTTTGAGATAAAGTCTACAATGAGGCTGTATGCAGAGAACCAGGCTTGTCAGCGTTGCACCTGAGCTCAGAGCGAAAAATGAATAGCTTGTTCATAATGGCGAAATTCCATTGCATTGTATCAAGTCTGGGTAGCTTTCCTAAACTCTGATTAAAGGTTCAGGATAAGAATTGGGGAGGTGAGAAGCAAGACCAGGACCATCATGGAGCCAAGCAGCAGGTGACAGAGAAAGGACCAGATTCCAGATCTCCTGGCTGGTGTGTGTGGGGGTGTCTTTCTCCAAGACCGTATTTCAAGCACATACCCAGCCAGCCACAGCTAGGAGGAGTGTCGAGCTCCGAGGGAATGGTGTGAATTCACGTTTAGTGCCTCGTGAGGACACTGGGTCGTTTAGCAGAGAAAATATCTGAAGAGACGCCGTTGTGAGGAAATGACTGCAGCGTCCCTTCTGCATGCTTTCCTATCAATCTGTATTATGAAAGAGCTTATGTAATAATTTGGGGGGTTTTAGAAATTGGATGTCGATCATTCATTCAAATGGCACACAGCAAGCAGCTGCAGCTGTGACTGGTAAGTCTATCAAAAATAAAAACAGCACCCCCCCCCCGCCCCTACAAAATAAATAAATAAATAAATAAATAAAAACAACAAAAAACCTCTTTGAAAAAAAAAAGATCCAGCTGAGATATTGGCTGTATAGCTACACAGACTTAAACAAAACAAAACAAACAAAACAAAACAAAAAAAACCAAATAGGTTTTGGTTACTGATTATTTTCAGGAAGAACTCTTTTTAAAAACCTTTTGTTTTTCCTATCTTTCTTTCTTTCTTTGCATCAGTGTGTATGGCGGGGTGTTGCTGCCTGAACTTCTCAGTTTCAGAGCCGTTTTTCTGTGTAGCAATTCTGGATTATTTTTATCTTGGGAACGATGGCATCTTATTAATGATAAGCTCAAGGCATCTGATGTGTTTTCAAGGAATTTGAGGCTTTAAAGTAAACAACAGATGTATAGATTTGAAAACCAGGGAACCGGTTTGGAAGGCAAAGTTTTTGAGAAAGAAATATTTATAAGTAATAAAGACCTTAACGGGGTAGCATGCAGGGACTCATGGAGAGAGGATGCCACATTCTTCTTCCCCTTGGTGACAGGGCCTGGGATCTTGAATGCACACTCAGGGAGCAGAATCATGGCCCAGACAAATGAGAAAGAGAAACACAGCACTGTTAGCTCCAACTAAGTTGGGATGGGGTGTTTTGCATATAAACCTCTCCCTGAAGCTAACAAGCAGTTTCAAAGATTCACGTCTTTTTTTTTTTTTAATTTTTTTTATTTTTACTTTTTGGTACTAAGAATTGAACTCAGGGGCACTTGACCACTGAGCCCCATCCCCAGCCCTATTTTGTATTTTATTTAGAGACAGGGTCTCACTGAGTTGCCCAGTGCCTCGCTGTGGCTGAGTCTGGCTTTGAACTTGAAATCCTCCTGCCTCAGCCTCCTGAGCTGCTGGGATGACAGGCGTGTGCCACCGTGCCCGGCTGCTTTATCATTCTTCAGCCTAAACCGTCTCACTGCATAGACACGAAGACTGCAATTAAACCATGAGCAGCTTCATGCTGTACACATTGCCATCCGATTAGTGGCATGCACCCAGTATTCGCTTTTGCTCTTAAAGCTGAGCATTAGAATTGGCTGGGAGTCTTCTCTTCTGTGCCACCTGGGGCCCACTACTTTGGGGAAGCTGGAACCATTTGTGATGTCACACGCTGGCCAAGGTGAATTTATGACAAATCTTCAAAAATCAATAAAAGTATGGAGAGTATATCATTTTGAGAGAGAGAAAGAGAGAGAGGCAGAGAGAGAGAGAGAGAGAGAGAGAGACAGAGACAGAGACAGAGACACGAGACACGGCCATTAAGGGCATAGCTATTCTAATACCTACAAGTCCGCTTGGGTCTGCAATTAAAAACATTCTGATAATAAATCTCCTCCCAGTCTCTTTTAATGCTTTTAACTTTCCTGAAGGTTCAAATTGGTATCCCAAAAATGTGCCAGGACTCTCACAAGGTATTTTATAGACTCATAAATAAATACGGCAATTAATCTATGCTATATTTCTTTCATATTTGATGACGATTTATTACGGCATTCACCCATTTGGTGCACAAAAACTCTAATGCACTTAAAATCGGATTTCAAACCAAACATTTTATGGGAAAATATAGTATTGATCATCCATTTAAAGATCTCATGAAGATGATTCATAACCTGCTGTAAAGAAAAGATCTCAGGAGGATCTCGCAAATGAGTGGGTGGCGAGAGAGTCTATTCATAAAACCCGAGCTAGCGGATCAGCTTCTCTTGTTTTCTTCATCTATCTTGGAGCTTGCCGGCACTGATGACTTTTGCATGCCGCTGTTTTATAAGAAAAATCCCTTTCCATGACATTTTTCATCGTGACAGAGGTCACGGGATTTCACAGCGAATATTTTCTGCTGCCATTTTCTGCTGCCATTCTGACTGCAAACAGAGTTTCAGGGGTGATAGAAGTTTCTGTGGCTTCAGAGTCAAAGCTCTGGGATGGGGCCATCATGTTGGGTGCGGATTCTGTGCAATCTTACACCCCAGACGGCCCTGGGCTGGGGTAAATGCTTGAATGGCTTTTTGCCCCTCTCGTCAAAGACAGTTCTAAAAACCGAAAAAAAAAAAAATCCCAGGGTGCTGGCCTTTCTCTGCTTGGAGCACAAAGTCTGGCTGAGAAGAAAGACGCTTGTCCTTCATTCAACAGATATGGGAAGTGTCTACTGAATGCCGAGCTTGGTTCTAGGAGGCAAGGTTACATCTCTGGACAAAATTGGATGATTGCTCTCTAAAATTTAGAGTACATTCTAACAAATTAAATACTTTCAAATCACTCTGGAATCATTTGTGTAGCTCCCTAGTAATTTGAAAAAGAGGCCTGATGTTTACCGAATACTCAACAAGTTTCTAGGTATGAGATGATGCAATTTTAGAAGACCTTTCATTCATTCCTTCCCAAAGCATTTCGTGAGCATTTATTATCAAAGGACGCTGAGCAGAAGGCTGGAGGTTTTTATTTGTCCCAGCAAAAATCTCTGCCCCCAAAGACCTTACAATTTAGCTCCATTATCTACTTGAAAAGTAGATATCATTTGTTTCTTTTTATGGAAGTTGGAGCTTAAGAGAGATCCACTCGCCTGGTGTAACAGACCTCGTGTATGGACAATCTAGGGTCTGAGCTCAAACAGTAAGCTTCAAAGTCTTGGGAAAATCACAGATTTCAGATTAAATATTTAATCGCTGAGATGATTAGTTTTGAGAAATAAGGACCTCACCTAATAGATACTTGATGCATGGTGCTATGTTCCTTGTATATTACGGGGCTGGCTTCCCCTAATCTTATATGTCTACACAATACCAAATATTTATACAAAAGGGGGAAGCCACATAGTGACG